CTCTCATACACACGTTTTAAGGGATGACCCTTAGGATAGATGAATAAAAGTAGTTCTATGTAATTTGAGAGATGGCTTCAGCCAAGATAATCCTGAACAGATGATCATTTTGCTGGCAAATTTGATTGATAGAGGCAAAGAGCGGGAGAATTAGAGAGAGAGAAAGGTGGCCTGAGATTTTTAGGAAGATTTAAAAGCAGTACACACACATGTCATCTCCCTGCTGAGGGGACACTCTCTCCGTTTCTTGTTGTCGTACCCCTCTTCCTCTCTCTCGTGGTCCCTCCATCCCCCCCTCACCCTCGGTGCCCTTTTAGTTGTTTCATTTTCACTCATCCTCTTGTTTTTCCTCTCTCTCTTTCTCTCTCAAGAGTGTTGGCAGTATAATCCTCAGTTTCAGGCCGTGTTGCCACAGAAACATCAATAATATTCCTGCTCAACAACATCTTAGTGCATTAAAGTGGTCATATGGAGTACACCTCTCTCCCTCACCTACTCTCACCCTATGTCGTGTGCATTTTTGGCCCTTTTTTTAGTTCCCTGTATTGCTTTTCCTGTAATTCCTGGGCAGAAATAGCGTGTTGTGTGTGGACTTGGGAACAAAGGATGAGACTGAAGGATTGTTAGTGTGCTTAGAGCTTTCCCCATCCTTCATTATCCGGAGCCTCGCACACTCTCGCCTCAGGTTAAAGGATGCAAGATCAGGGTACAAAGACTTTGACGCCGGTCAGGTCATTTGACACAGGAAGCTAATTGAATTTCATGTAGTATACAGTTCCATTCTTTACTGTAATGAAATCAATGTAATGAAATATATATTTATATTTATATATATATATATATATTTATATATGATTTTTTACTCTGTGAGAAGTTGGAACCATGGAACCATAAGTAGCCTAAACAAAACAAAAGAACCAACAACTACATCTTGACTATCATTTATAAATTATACCGAAACTCAATGTTTGTTACATAAAGTTAATCATTAAAATTGTGTAACTGTTCCTGTCCTAGATATACTGTCCTATAAAAATAAATACAAAAATGGCAAAAATAAATCTAAAAAAAAAAAACTTAATGTTGTTTCATTTTCACTCATCCTCTTGTTTTTCCTCTCTCTCTTTCTCTCTCAAGAGTGTTGGCAGTATAATCCTCAGTTTCAGGCCGTGTTGCCACAGAAACATCAATAATATTCCTGCTCAACAACATCTTAGTGCATTAAAGTGGTCATATGGAGTACACCTCTCTCCCTCACCTACTCTCACCCTATGTCGTGTGCATTTTTGGCCCTTTTTTTAGTTCCCTGTATTGCTTTTCCTGTAATTCCTGGGCAGAAATAGCGTGTTGTGTGTGGACTTGGGAACAAAGGATGAGACTGAAGGATTGTTAGTGTGCTTAGAGCTTTCCCCATCCTTCATTATCCGGAGCCTCGCACACTCTCGCCTCAGGTTAAAGGATGCAAGATCAGGGTACAAAGACTTTGACGCCGGTCTAAAAAAAAAAAAAAAGTAACTATACTCTTGTTGTCTATAAGCTATTTCGTACATCACACTTATAAAATTATAGAAATATAGCATGTGAAATTAAACTAACTGGCAAAGATATGATATTATAGATATTTATTATCTATATTATCTATCAATGTTTCCATGATGTTTCAATTTGACAATTTGTTTCCCACTCGCATTACAATCAAAATGGAATAACATTTTATCTTATTTTTTCTATTGATATTGTCTTATCCTTATCATTTTCTTGCCACATTGCCATGGATATGTTTCATTCATAAATGTGTCAATTACAGTAGTTATGTTTTATATTTTTTCTTTAAAATTTCATTGAGACTATTAATCAGACGTAATATCAAAAACCTTGATTTTTAACATTTCTTTCTTGTCTCATTATTTGATTGAGCTGTCAAAGGTTAAGACATTTTTACACAAATAGGATTAAAAAAGGAAAAATTATTAAAAGGATTAATATTTTCATTTCTGTAATTACACCACTGCTGAATTAAGCATGCAACTTAGTGAGATCATGTGACAGCAATGTAGAAAACTACTGTATGAAGCATACTGTATGTCTTTGCATGCTATATACTGTTTCACGTACTGTTTGCATACTATGTAAATACCGTGCAGTGGTCAGTAAGCAGAGAATTCCCTTAGTATTCCCTTCCAAACCGACTAACCTGTGTGTGTGTGTGTGTGTGTGTGTGTGTTTGTGTTTGTATGCACCTGTCGGCACTACGCACAAGCCAAATTTATTTGAGCAGTGTTATAGTAACTACAGTATCTTCAGGCATATTGGCCTGCTCAACCGTGGCTTTGTCTCTGTGTGGGGTTAAGTGTGTGTGTGTGTGTGTGTGTGTTCCCTCTCACAAGCGATTGCACTATTTGCACCCTGGAATTCAGAATATATTTGTGGATCACGCACATTTGTTGCCCTCAACTACTCAGACTCCAAATCACAATTCATACAAACACACTCCCTCCTCCTCAGCATTCAGCACCCAGAGTGTGTGTGTGTGTGTTTGCATACCAGTTTTGTGGAAAGCATTCTCACCGCACACACACACACTGGGGATGTCATCATCACAGCAGCCAAATTATTCTGATTGACCGTCTGATTTCCTGATAGAAGGGCTTCAGTCGTTAACAGAGGCAGGGGTCCCGCACTCCTAGTTCAACTTTAATCAAATGATTTGATTTTGCCTTTTATTATCTCTCCCGAGTGCTAAAATATCACCGGTGGTGGGCTTTTCAACTGCTGATGAGACCAGCCTCTCTGTGTTAGACTCTAGAAAGTACAGATGAGGGCTAGAGGGGACCAGAGCCCACTTCCTGTTATAGTGCAGCTTGAACCAACCAAAGTCAGAGGACTGTCTGGACCTTAATTTTCAATTTCTGACATAAAGTCTCTTCCTTATGTGGTATATTCTGGTCAAAAGCCGCCCACTTATATAGTAAGACATCATCATACCTACTGGAGAAGTGACCAAACACAGTTTTTGTTTTTATGCGCCGTTTATGGTCTTATTTGAAATATACACTATCGTTCAAAATTTGAAGGAGTGAGATTTTTTCCCCCCAAAATTAATATACTTTTTTTTTTTTCAGCAAGGATGCCTTAAATAAATGCAGAGTGACAGTAAATACATTTGTAATGTTACAAAATATTTTTATTTTAAATAAATGCTGTTCTTTTGAAATTTCTGTTCAGTGAAGAATTTGGAGAAAAAGATGTATCACAGTTTCTACAAAAATATTAAGCAGCACAACTGTTTTCAACATTGAAAATACGAAATGTTTCTTGAGCAGCAAATCAGCATTCACGAAACAAAACAAAACAAAACTGAAAGAGAAATGTATCATTTTCTGTAAAAAAAATATTAAGCAGCACAACTGTTTTCAACATTTTGCCTTAAAGCCAGCACCGGCTGCCCCGTGTTTGCCTGGCCGGATAGAAAGGACTGCAGTGAACTAAACATGCCATGGGTCGTGCAGATGTCACTTCCTATTAGCAAGCACAGATTGCTACCCATGTCACAGAGGTCACACACCTTTCCCTGCTTTTGTGTGTGTATGTCTTTGCACGTGCATGAGGTGTCTCACAGCTAAGTACGATCATACTGATTCTCTGTTCAGTCTAAGTTTTATTATATTCAGTGTGCCTTTTCCAGGTTTAGGTGTTGTGAATTAGCGGTCATATAACTGTTGACTTTAATTGGACAAAGTAACTGAGCTTGGCACCCACACAAGCACACCCACACACACTTGAATGTGGACATACTGAGCCTCTCTCACACATGCAAAAACCTAGTGTGCATCTTACCTAGATAGTGTTTTAAGGCACCATAGGCAAAATTCTGACGTAATAGGTAGGCAGCAAGGTTATACTGCTTTTTTTGGCTAGAACGTGGCAACCGAGAATCCCAGAATGCATTGTAACAATGACAGTAAATGTCAGCCACACTTCCGTGTTCAAAAAAGCAGTGTAGATATTGTAAAATAACTTCCGCTGTAACCTGTATGAATGCCAAAGCCCATAGCACAGGATTGTTGTGATTTACTGATGTACAGTTCATCACAGATTTTTCATCAAAACATATTAACCACAGTTTGCAATCATTAATCGGGCATGATGAAATGAATAAAAATGTTGTCATGTTATTCTGACACATATTTCATAATTAAATAAGAGCGTACAAGCCTGCTGTATGTGTGGGGGTACAATACTTCAGTGTCAGACCAGCTTTTTAATAAATAGAATACAAACAGCATGTCACATTAAAAAGCAATAAAATCGGACAAGGATATACATCTAATAAAACATTAACTTACACTGTACAAATTAAACAATAATGTTAGCATTGCATATGTTATTATTAAACGCAATAGAACATTAAACTTTTAGCGCCACTTACCGGACATTTCATTTCTGAACTGCCAAAATATGCACAACAACCATCATGATAAAACGTTCCCAGATTCACATTCATCTGTTTTGGATAAAACTGAATGTGCTTTTAGCACAACTCACTGGACAGCTCACTGTGAAAGTGTCGCAAAACATGCAAGACGTAACATAATATAATTTTGCAGAAGTATTGCCAGTTTTTCCAATGAGCCTGGGTTGTTAAATTTAGTCACTTAAAAGGTTGCATTTCAGTGATGCTGCATAGGTGGTAGGCAGCAATGCAGCACACTAGGTTTTGGAACAGAGCCATAGTTTGTGTGCCAGTCAGACTGATTTACCCCTTCAGCAACTCTGTTTTGAAAAACAGATCTCAGATAGCAATAGCAGGGGAGAGCTTTGAATTAGTCATGACTGTGGACTTTTAGAGTGCTACCGTTTTAGGATTGTGCGTGTGGCCTGCACAGTAATCCTCTCCTCTCTGCCCCCTCTCTCTTTCCCTCCACCTTGTTCTGTATCATCGTAGCATGCTTGCTGAATAATTGCAGTGAGGGGACTTTTCAATGCATTCGTGATTGGCTCTCTGGGGCAGTACGCAGTAGGCTAGGGTGAGTGTGTTCTCTGCTCTTCTTCCCAAAGCCTGTTTCTCCTCTTCTAATGCAGTCCAGCTTGACTCCTGCAGACATTAACACATGAATACTTGACTATTGCGAACTTGTTCATGCCCTTCTCTGATGCTTTGTAGCCTTGTAGTCTAAATTTCTGATGTTCTCTTACAAATACACACGTTAAAATGGCAATCCACAACCTTTTTGACCCATTGCGTCATGTGTATAAAGATGCATTACCTCACCTATGTTTTTTAAGACAAAATAGTCATCAGTGATGTGTGAATGTATGTCAGTGTGTTTATCCATTTGATGGATAAAAGTGTCTGCTATAATTAGTGGTTTTGGCACTGACTTGGTTCTGAATGAGTCTAAATGAGGTGTCTGACCAGTGATTGCAGAAAGTAGCTATAGCTTTATCTGTTGATTCAAACGATTCCGTATTTAATACATGCTTGTGTCCTATACTTTCCAGTGTATAACTGAATATGGATCCTGTCCTCCACCAGCGCATTATGCGGAGTGTTGTGACATAAACAGTAGTGGGCCTACTGTTAATCAAGTGGGAGGAATCAGTAACATTTTTCAATTGTACCAGATCCTACACATCATCAAAACCCTGACAAACACACACTCACACGGTCTCATCCACCCTCATCCACTCACCAGCAAACACAACTCACACACTTCAACCTCCCACAGAATCCACTATGCAAATGTGTCCTCCAGCAACAAGCATGTTATATCCATATAATTTTATGTTGTGTGTCGCCGCAGATGGCAGTATGACAATATGGTGATCTAGCATGTTTCTAAACGGATGGTTGTGTAAAATTATCAATGTACAAAATCATAGGCATGAATTACCTAAATTATTATTGTACTAAATTTATATATTTCACAAGGGATTTAAAAAAAATTGGATCTACTGTATACTCCTCATTTGAATGGTAGTGTATATCAGTTAATATTGGATATTTAATTGTGCGTCTCAGTATCTTTCTAATCAACTAGTCAGTTGTTGCACAGCTAGTCGATTAATCAACCATTGTGACTCATCACAGGTACAATTCGGCCTTATAGACATCGTCAGAATGACTTTGTTCGAGCTCTAAATTGTAATATTTCGTGAGTTTAGTTTGTAACTAGATTTTTTAAACTACCAGTTTAGCCACCCTCCGAAAGGTATGCCATTAATTTAATACCCCATGCACCTTTCCTGGCGTCCTGCTAATGTGTATGAGTGAATCTGAGTGTCAGAGGGTGTTAGACACCTGCGCGGTGCACCAGCCCACACCAGCTGGTGTCTTTGTTAGGACTAAGTAGTCAATTAGATAACAACTGAATGAACACAAATGTGTTTGTGTGTGTTAGTAGTGTAAGAGGACATCTTTTACAAGCTGTTGTGCTTAAAAAAAGAAGAGCTAGTGCTTGTGCCTTTCAGAGACTACTTTTATGCTTAAGTATAAAAATCTGCGTAGTTTCCTGCTGTGGGTTTTATTAGCAAAAATGTTAGCATTTAACTTGGTTAACATGGCTCCATGTTCTTTTAATAACAAATAAGAGACTGCTACCACAGATTAGCATGCCGGGATAATCCTTCTACTTTTCTTTCGCATAAAGTTAGCTGGCTGGTTTTAGGTGTGTCTAAAAAAAAAAAAAATTAATTAATAGTTTTATTTAGCAAAGGCACATATTGATCAAAAGTAACAAAAGATGTTACAAAATAGTTCTGTTTCAAATAAATGCTGTTCTTTTCCAATTTGTCAGAGACGACCAGACGCTGCCTCTCCTGGTAGTCCCATTATCTGGGTTACCCAGCATTCAGCAGACAGGTGCTTCCCCTCCCTGTACCCAGTGACCAGGGAGGAGAGGACTTCTTTAGAGCAGGACTTCAATAGGTGGGATGCTGGGACAGCAGCAGGATAAGGAAGTCAGGAGGTTCACTAATTACAGTGGTGTGAGTGTGTGTGTGTGTGTTTGTGTATGTGTGTTTATTTTGTATGTGTGTGTGGCACTGACCACTGCACCAACTATAATATTGCATGTATTGATAGGTAACTCGGAAGAAATTGTTATATTTCTCAGTCATGTGTGGGTTATTTTTGTCTTGCTAACCTAACAGTTTTTGTATTTTAAATAAAGGGTATAAAATTGGCCATTTAAACGTTTAAATTATTTTGTTTGTATCATTTATGCACACTTTGAAAGAAATCTTTCATCTGTAGACATCTGAAGTGTAGACTGTTTGATTTGGTTATTTTGCTGTTAGGGTTATTTATGGTTCAATATTAGAGCAGTTATTAGAATTATTAAAAATATTGACAGACAGTTGATCAAGTTTTACATCCCCACTCCCCAGGCTCAAAAAGTAGATTCTGGTTATGAAATAAATGCATAAAAATTAGGGTGTTATTAGGGATGCACAATATATCAACGTCAATTATCACCTTTAAGATTATTATTTGAAAGATGATAATTTGAAATTTTTTTTTTCAAATTATTGGTGTTCGGTCAGTATGAGATATGTACCAACTGATATTAGAAATGTAATTGTTAATTATATTTTTTCACATTTTTATTTGCATTATTTACGTTATCTAATAGTCACTTTTAACCCATAATCTATAAACAAACGTATAATAAATGACTCTATTAAATGTAATATTTAGGAAATATATACTCAAATTTGTTAATGTTGTCCTTTTTTTTAGTAATCAGCCATTTCATTGCATAGAATTCCATAATTATCAGCTGAAAGTTTGTTATCGGTGCTTCCCTAAATTACAGTGTAGTGTAATAGATTAATAACATAATAGTAGATAAATTCTATATTATCAATGCATTGAAATTTTATTGCCAGATTTATGCAACATGGTCACTCACCTTAGGTATGAATGTGTTTAGTTGTTGGCGATCTTTGGCTTGTGTACAGTTTCATGCATTACACCATTATTACTGTATATATTGCGGTTTGTGACTTCATTTAAAAAAGGGAAACATTTTCCCATTCATTTTTTTTTCTGATGATATAAAACACTTGCTCTCGGTTGAGGCAGGGGGATAAATCCTGTGCATTAACAGACTCAAATTAATGAAATAATGTAACAGTGAGAAAATCTGGAAATATGCTTTGCAAATTTAAAAGCCTCCCCTGCCGACGTCTCTCTAAACGACCCTGACAAAGGTGTAACAATAGCTGGCAGTCACTGGAGACAAAGCATTTCATCAGTGGGGATACATCAGACGAGGCCCATGGGTAAAATCGACAATAAGCAGCTAATCTCCTAATCCACCCAAATTGTGCCCAACACCTTTCAATGATGATTGCACAGGAAGAGGGAATTATAATCTCCTGATGGGTTTTGACCAGGGATACAATATGGGGTAAAATGTGAGTGTTGTGATTGAATTAATTGCTCTTTGCACATGCTGGTGACTGACAGGAAACACACTGTATTCAAACGGTTTGAGTGAATTGATTAAATATTGTAATATGTAGAGTCACTAGAGCTCAGTAATAGAGGTGTCATTCTTTCTCTGCTAACACAACAGAGCCTTTTTAGTATGGGTGTAACGATTAATCGATATGGATCGATACATCGATATGATGTCTGACGATACGATGCATCGATGCCACGTGTAAAATATCGATATCTGTAGTATAAATAGGCACCTTTATTTTGGCACTGTCCACATTTTCACATAATGTCAGTCTATGCATTACTGCCAACGCTTGCATTCTCGCTCAAACTCACGTATCAGGACTCGATATAAGGACTGCCCGAAGGCACAAGGTGAGCATAAAAGACGCTCTGGATTGTTGGCGGAACAGTCGAGCGCTGTGTGAGAAGTTTTCTGCGCACACAATCTGAAGCGCACGCACACAGACAGCCGTGTCTACACCGCGCAAATACTAAATTGAGCTCTCTTCTGCTTTTTTGTGCATGGATGAATAAATACAGACAAAATTACATCAAAATG